TTTCCAGCCAAAAATAAGAAACAACAAGAGATTTGACAAATAAGCTTGTTGGTGGAAAGTAAATTGAAGCTAAAAGATGGAACACACAACATTTTTCAGCAAAATTTTGTCTGATAACCTGACTGGCACAACATGACTTACTGAAACTTTACTACCATTTGGTAGTTTAATTGAAATGTGCACAATGGATGTACTAGAATCAAGATAAGATGTTGTACATACTATATGATCAGTGGCACCTGTGTCGATTACCCATGGAATCTTATCATGAATTTCAGAATTTCTGATTGAATGGGTGAAGATAACACTGAGTGATCAGCCAGTGAAGAAAGAGCATAAGAGGAAGCAAGTGTATTACCAGATAGATTGAGTAGAGAGTCATTATGAGTACTACTTATTTGGTTTACTACAGGTTCTCCAGTTTTACACTGCCTGTAGAAGAGACAATAGCTGCTAAATTTGCATTCACTTTGTCAACTGAACCATCTCGATAGACCTGCGGAGAAACTTGTGGTGAAATAGAGTTTGAATTTCCCTTCCCTTTGAATTTGTATCCAGGAGGATATTCATGTAGTTTATAACACTTGTCAACAATATGGCCTGTTATTCCACAGTGTGAACAAGTTGGTATTGCCTTATTGTGACTTTGCTTACTACTATTTTGTGCATTAGAGTTTGATCTACTAAGAAGAGCAGCAGAATCAAAGCTAGAAGAAGCAGAAGTACAAGTTGTAATTTCGCGTTCTCGTTCCTCTTGAAGAATCAAGAATAACATCTTATTAATAGAAGGAAATGGATCTTGACGAAGAATTTGACTTCATCTATGATTATAAGAGTCATTCAATCCCATCAAAAACTGAATTATATAATCCTGTTGTTGACATGCAACAAGCTTCTTCAAGGCTCCACAAGAACAAATAGGTAATGGACGATAGTTCATCAATTCATCCCAAAGACCTTTAAGGCATGTATAATATGCACTAACAGAGAGTTGTTCTTCAGTTCAATACAAAATTGATTTTTGTAACTGAAAAATCCTCAGACAATTCGTCTAAGAAAACCTTTCTTCCAACTCATCCCAGTATTCTATAGCAGTATTTACATAAAGCACACTTCTAGCAATTTCTTTGGACAAAGTGTTTAGAAGCCAAGCAATGTCCATGAATTGTAAAGTGGAATTGCTTTATCTGAAGGCTTGGAACTTGATCCATTAATGAAACACACCTTGTTCTTGACACTTATGGCCATAAACATAGATTGACTCCAAAAGTTATAGTTCTCGTCTGTTACTGTGAGATACCAGCAAAGCTCCTAGACTATCTCCATGATGTAGGAAAAAGAAATGCGAGGGATCTTCGGTTGAGCTCAAGGATGCGGATGCTTGTGATGGTGAGGATGCGGCAAAAACAGGTATGAACAAAGGAGAGAAAAGGAAACAATTTTCTTATTCACATTCTTTTCAATTTCTACATACACCACTAAGTATTTATACAGAGATGCACTGCCTCTCATCCTTCACCAACTAACTAATTCTACACTAATTAAATACAAGCAACTAAAACTTGACAGCTAAGATATTGCTAGGGTGGTTCACTGTCCGCTGCCTACCTCAGAACCCCCACCACCCTCCTTAAGATACTACACCGACAAAGAACAAAACCCACAGCTCAATTTCTCGCTCATACCATCACCGACTCTCACTGTATATTAAAGGTTACCATATGAATGGCAAGCAATATAAATATAGCCCCTCTCATATACAAAATAATAATAATTGAGAATAATCCACCCAACTAAAGACTACCCAGAAAATCAAAGTATTTCAGGATCAAATCAATCAACCGAATATAAAGATATAGCCCATAAATTTCCACAAAATATGCAAAAAATAAAAAATAAGAAAACAAAAGAAAAATTTTGGACCAAGAAAATAAATAGTAAAGGAATAAGGCTCAGATCTGTATTTGATCAGGCAATAGAATGGGTGACACACGCCATGGCTGCAAACCCAGTTGCATGTGAGAGAAAACCCCTCTACATGTCATCCCAGTTTGCCACGCCAAGATACGGGTCGGATTAATTCAATGCCCGATTCATTTGCTCAGAAAACATATCATCCCAGCCTCTTCTATATACGGGTCCGATTATCACCACCACCATCACCATCACCACCACCAACAACAAAACAACCATACAATTAGGTCCCAATAGCATTGCCGTTACATTGAATATTTACTCCAGGAAAAAAGGGCTGTTGGTTTCGAGGAGATAGAAATCATTGGCGTTTCAGAGAGGGGCAACCACCCTTAAAGAAATCCCATCTCTCTGAAGCCTCATTCATGAGCTAAGATAAGGGTTTAGGGTTAGGGTTTCAGGATTTAGATCTGAATCCTCACCGTTGCATTGAATATTTCTCCACTTCCAGAGGTAACCAACCTGGGAATTTCTCAAGCAGTTTCTTTATAGTACGCCCAATTTCGCTTTTGCCCTTGATTAAGCACTTTTTAACGTCTGGTTGTGAGTGGTTGTGTGTGAAGTATAGGGGTATTTTGATTATTGGATAATACAAGCCCACGCAACTCCAACTCTCCTTAATAAAATAATTATTTAAAATATATTTAAATATTATATTTTTTTTCTTTAACTAATCACTTTTTTAAATCCACTCTAACTACGTTCTATATTTTAAATACTACTTTAACTAATTTTTAATAATATAATTCAAAAATTCAACTCAAGGCATAGATAATTATCAACCCAACCAAAATCATATCATAATAATAATTCTAATTAAATTTTAAATAATACAATTTAACACTCATTCATTTTAAATAACAAAAATCAATTGCACAATACGTTTCAAACACTTATATTAATATTTTATAGGGGTCTAAATGTAAATATTCTATTATATATAAAAACTAAAAGAGTTTTCAAAATTTTGGGGGAGAGGGGCTTCAAAATTTGGGGGGGGGGGTTTCAGAATTTGGGGGAGGGGCGTTTCACTCATCTGATTCACAGTAGCAGCAAGGATCAGCAGTAGTAAGGAATGTCTGGTTTATAGTAGCAGCAAAAATTGGTAAACAATTTCTCCTCGCCAGATTTGACGAGTAAATTTGGCTTCCTAGATTTTGGAGAGGTAGATAGTTAGAGCGTTGGAGCTAAATTTGTGAGGATTGCTTGCCAAAACAGTTAAAAGAAAAGAGTAACGATCCTCATTGGAGATGCTCTAAGGATTGAATAGGAATGGAATACCGCGAAAAGGTCGATCCATACTTGGACAAATGAAGGTTTTCATGAGCTCTAAAATTATTTATAGTGAAATAATTTAGAGTCAAATATAATTAAATTCTTCTTCACAGTTATATAGAGATTCATATCTTAGGGTTGTTTAGTTGTAGTATTAAGCCTCGTAGTAAAAAGTCATAACAAATTAAAATTCTTTAGTTCAACCTTATACTGCATTTAGTTGTAAAAAATATTTTTGTATTATATATAATTTTATTTTAAATATTTATCTAAATAATACACTCTATCCGTAAAGCCGATTATAATACTATTTGGGGAGATGGTATTATAGTTTAGTTAAAGCGTATTGAGTTATATATTTATTATTTTATCCAACAAATAAACAAAAACATTAATAACTATACAAGATTGATGATTTTTTGATGAATATGTAATTAAGACTATTATCCCACCATTTTCCAGTATCTTACCAAACACTAGATTACAATAAGTATTAACTTTATCTTATATTTAATTTTGTGTTTTATTCGCTTATACAAAAATAACTCATATTAACTAAATCCTTTCTTCTTTTTTCTTATCGGTTAATCCAGTTAAAACTTAGATTCATTGGAGTTAAACCTATTCTTCATAACTGACAATGCAACTCATGTGGGTTAAACAAATTGAGAGGTCAACTCCAACTCAACACAAGTTATTAAATCCTTAACTCAAATTCATCGTGAAGATGAATTCAACCTCAACTCAAATTTTTTATTTTGATATGCAACAAGTGATCAGTATTCCAATGTTACAAGTCTAATGTATTACCATTACGGTCAAGTATGAATGAATCACAAGTGCGATCACCATTATAATTCTTTATAAATCAATATTATAAATGAATTTTAAGCCCGAAAAAGAAAAAAGAAATGAAACCCACAAAGATAGAAAAGGGAAAAAAAAAACAAAGAAAAAACAGAGTAGAATAAGATTCTCCAAAAGAAGAACTCATAAAAAATGAGTTCATTAATCCGTGCCTTTGGCAGGTAATCAAGTATTAATCCTTGACCTCGAGGTTGGTAGTATTACTGGTGACCAACTCAGGTAGACTCAATTGGTTAAGAATTTAAACAGTTTCTCGATTTATGTGTGTCATTCATTTTTTGCATCATCACGGTGCTAATGTTACCTATACCATTCGAATTTTACTGGATGCCCATGAAGCAACATTCATTTTCACACTCTTGGCCGATATTGTGAAGCATTGAAAATTTGATTGGAAAATTCAAATTGATCTGAATAACTCAATTATATCTAAATTTTAACCAATTCAATTTCAACTCAATCTCATCAAGTAATCACTTAATTTCGTTATATTTTTATAATCATATTATTCACATTTGATGACGATCAATCAAATTTTGTTATAATCAGATACAGGTATACAAAATATGATATCATGCTTTTGAATTTTGGATAATGGATCATCATATGAAACCAGATATGGATAATAAGGTTCGAATAAGGATTAAAACCCCGATCAATTGACATGCATAATACATATTATCAATCTTTCAAGGTAAATGTAAGGCTGTTATTTATTCAAACTTTTTTCAATCATTTATATTACGACAATTGTAAAGGATACAATTATTTTATTTTTTAATTTGTAAATAAAGGATATGGTTTGTTTATAGGTTTAGCTATGTAACTTTATTACTTTCATTGTGAGACAATCAATGAAAGCTCTTATTTATGCAAATTTAGACTCAACCATGTGGAGGATTATTGGGGTCATGGCGAGGGTTTGACCCAGGGTCTTTGTAGTCTTCTACTTGCAGATCTTTTTCCACCTCTGAGAACTGTCTATCACTTTTTATTTGCATATTTGTAGTTTGTGGATCATATAAGCTTTCCATGTCCATTCTCCCTTCCTCATTCTCTCCTTCCACCTCTAGAAAGATGGCATTGTCCTTGATTTCTGTAATTGAACTTCTTGGATCATGGTGTTGGGTTGGTCCATGGTCTTTATAGTCAGTGCTTTCACTACCCATTTTCCATTTCTGATGTCCTCCTTCCATCTTTGATGCTTCACCATCCTTAATTTGCATTATACCGTGCAAGGCAAAGGACATAAAGAAAATTGACATCCTCAAAATATACTAATAAAATGTGAGGGTTGCATACATATAAATTAAGCATGTGTGGAGGGAATGCTTCCCATATCATATTCCACACATTTTGATGTTTTTATGTGATAGACGAGAAATGTACACACATATAGGGTGTCAATTTTCAATAAGACACGTTAATACGACACAAATAGAACACAAATGTAATGGGTTGGACACACATTTAAGCGGGTCAATGGGAAAAAAACAAGCCAACTCACTTAATCACAAAAAAAAAATTACGTCGGATTTATGTCAAAATCAAGTTAACACGATTTTTGACACAATTAACTCATATTTTAAACAGGTTGAGATGATTTGGACACAAATTCGACCTAATTGTTTTTTACCCATTTAACCAGTTTATCCCAGTATATAAAAGCAAAAAAAGCTTAACCCTAACTCAAAACCTCTTCATTTTCCACTTTCCATCCAGCTTCAACCCGCTGCTCAGCAGGAGGAGGGGCTATGGGACTTTTGGCTAAACAATTTTGAAGGTTTGGCATATTTTGGCAGAAAGGGATGATGTACATAGAGAGTTTTAAATCACAAAACATTGTTTAATGTTTTGATTAGACTCATTTGTTTACTGCTTTCACATAATTTCTTTTGAATGGCAGTATAGTTCTTGCGATATCATGTTTTTCTTTTTAATACATTTTAGTTAATTTTATTGATGAGATGTGTTTTTGGGGAAAGATTATTTAAAACTCGTGTTAAATTGTGTATTTAAAGATAATAAACATGTATGAAATAGGTTAACCGGTCGTGTTATTTGCGTTAATCTAAAAAGGACCTGTATATTAAACCTGTTAAATAGGTCGTCTTAATTAATATTAGACAACTTAGAAACGATTAATTGAAAAGATCAAACTCGTGTTTATAAATTTTTTACACAAACCTAAAACTAACCCTACACCAAAATGATCCGATTCAACACGTTTACATTTGACACCCCTACACACACATATTTATGGAGAGAGAGAGAGAGAGAGAGAGATGACCTGAGCCAGTATAACATGGGCTTGAGAGTCTTCTTTGGTAGGGAAAAAGGCTCCTATTATAGAAGAAAAAACTACTATTAGGTTGGTAACGAAGAGGAGCAAAAAGATAGGGAAAATATATATATTTTGCCTACTATGTTGCCCCCTCAAGCCTTACTTGATGCAGGAATGGAAATAGCCGAAAGAACGTAAGAGTAAAGTAGAAAAACTATTAAGATAGCTGGAAAAGCCTTCACTTCCATCCTAATAAGGCAGAGGAAGGTCTGTGAGCAAAACCGGGAAGAGTTGAGCTTGGTGATGGCAAGGGGAAGCACCAAAACACGGTGCTTATATAGACCCAAAAAGTTCGATACGCAAGAAAAAGTTGTGCATTAAGTCAAATCACATTTACTTCATTGTATCAGACCATTGAACCTTTGGATTACAGATAAGGATTTATTTGGTAAGCAAATAAATGCTGAAAAACAAAAGAAAAGGAAAAAATGAAACCTTTTTTTTTTTTTTTGAAAAAATGGGGTCCACTATATTTTCTTGTATTTAAGACACTTTTGATTTTCTGCAAAAGAACAAAAAAATTCCCGTGAAAGTCTGAGTTACTATTCACACTTGATTCTTTTACCGATAATCATCTCTTATCTTTTCTCATATACATATCAAATTGAATAACAACACTAACTAGGGAACTAAAAAACAAAAAGCCTCAACAAAGTTAAACTTGATTTAATATAATTAAGGGTAATTTAATTATAATATATTTTTTTTCTTTGCATCAATTTAATATAATTAAGAAAAATTTAAACAATTAAATAAATTTTCTTATAATTTTCTTTTCTTTTAAACAATTGAATGAATTTTTTTTTTTAAATTTTTTTACAAGTTTTTATGATAACTAAATGCATCTATGAAAATATGTTTTTCTCATTTTCTTGTTCTTTCCCTGCACTTTTTAAATTTTTACATCTCTATTTGAAGAGATAAAAATGGTTATGTGTCATCCATGCATTGCTTCTACATTATTAATATTTGATATTTATTTATAAAAGATGGTTAAATGCAGAGTCTTTCAGGTTCAGTATCTTCTTCGATATAGATAAGGATATTTTAGACAATTCTCAAAATTTTTTAACAATTTTACTATCTTTCAAACAATAAAATGACTTTTTTTTTAAAAAAAATTCTTTCAAAATTTTCATGCTAACCAAATCCATGAAAGAATTTTTTTTTTTTTTTTTTTACTTTCACTTTCACTTTCCACCATTATTTTGGACCCTAAGGATTATAGAAATCTATTGTGCTTCTCGCGAGGCTTTCTGAATGCTATTCTAGTTCCAATTATAGTGATCTACTCAAAGTGTCAAGAATTTAATTAGTTAAGAGTGTAATGCGCAAATAAAATATTGAGGGATAAAGTGAAAATATCTCTGATTTTGCAGAGATAAAGTTTAATTAATAGAATATTTCTGTCACATTGGATAAATATAGTTTCCTCCTATTTAAAAACTAGCAAAAATACGCATTTAAAGACACCATACAACATAAAAATTCAAACACTCAAAAAAAATCGAGCATTGGTCCATTTATACAATTCGAAACTTGCACCCAAACTTTATGGCGTTCCCTCTCCTTCATGAACTTCAAAATTACTCACAAACATATTAAACCCCCCCCCCCCCCCCCCAAAAAAAAAAAAAAATAAAAATAAGTCAAAAAGAGCTTTCAATGCTTGCCCAAGGAGCCGTAAACAAACCAATAGCTAAAGAAAGCATGCTTAACCATGGTAAGGATTATGTGAGGCAAAAATATCAATTCAACACATCCATAAAAAAATTCCCCATGAAGCTGTACAAAAAGAGGTTTGGATCTCTGAAAGGAACTGTTACACCTAGTTCCGAAGAGTTACTTTATAATCTTATCATAGCATAATACAATTTTTGCAAAACCAAGTAACATTTGTATTCTTGAGAGTATATTGAAAATTGAATTAATTGTAAATTGTACTCCGAAAGATTGTTCAAATTTTAATTTGCACCTCTAAAAATTTAAAATCTCAATTTACACCCTCAAAGATAGAAATTTGTATCAATGTGCACCCCTCAAGATAAAAAATCTCAATTTGCACTTCAAAGATAGAAATTTGTATCAATATGCACCTAAAATTAACTGCCGTCAGTTTGCTATCTAAAACTAAATTGATAAATTATATCTAGATTCTTTCATGCTTGTCACTTAAACATTTGGACCCCTTCACAAAATAAAGGGTAATTTGAAATTATAATTTTTTATTATAATAAAATCATATTTTTTAACGGTTATAAAATCCTAATAAATCTCAATCTAAAATGTCTCTCAAATTGGGCATTCAAATAATTATGTTTAAGTGATATATTGCATTGCATATAAAAACATTATATAAATACCTACATTCTATTGGACATTTAAATGGTAAGTTTGATTTTAAACTTTAAAATATATCGGACCTACAAAATAAAGGGTAATATAAAATTATAATTTTTATTAGGATAAAATCATATTTTTTAACGATTATATTAACAGATATCATCGAAAAAGAGATACGTGTTACACGTGCACAAACGTCATGAAATGTTAGAGTAATATTCTAAATGTGAAAGAGTTCAAATGATTAAGTGACAAGCATGAGGGGATCTAGGTATAATTTATCAATTTAATTTTAGGTAACAAACTGACGGCGGTTAGTTTTAGGTATCCATTGATATAAATTTCTATTTTTGAGGTTGCAAATTAAGATTTTTATTTTTGGGGTACACATTGATATAAATTTCTATCTTTGAAGGTGCAAATTAAAAATTTTTATCTTTGAGGGTACAAATTAAAATTTGAACGATCTTTCGAAGTGTAATTTGCAATTAACCCTTGAAAATAAAAACTCGGAAACTTCATCCAAAAGGAGAGTTGAAATCATTGAATTATACACCAGAAATCGCAACCTGGAAATTATAGGAATTACGTCAATAAAAAACCATGCTTGACACAATATACTGGGAGAATTCTTATATCTCCCATTAAGGGAAGGAAATTCTCAAGGAAAGTGATGGCCTCTGGAGTTGTTCGTTCCAGACCTCAGTGGTGTGGCAAATAACAACTTGTCCCTCTTTTTCCATTCTCTTTCCTCCCCCCCTCTCTCTCTCACACACACATACACAAACTTTGCCATAATAAAGTGATTCTCACGCAAGAAACGTGGCTGCTTTGCTTTGTACATAAAAGAACAACCCAATTATCTGAATGTAGACAGTACGAAATCTAATTTGATCTCAAATTGTTGCCATCAAAGTCCACCCCAAATTCACAACAAATATAGCTATAAAAAAAAATTGAATAATGCAGAAAATAAATACCTCGTCGCATCTTTTAGGGGTCGGTACACTAAGGTGATGGAACCAAGCAAAGCTCACCAATTGAATAAATTATACCTAACTTGCTCACAAAAAATATAAAATCAAAGCTCGCCAAAACAATAGGTTTAACCTGCATTTTTTAAACACAACCCATTATCAATAAAAACGTTCCTTTGCCCTCTCAAATTTGTTTCTCTCTCTTCTTTTTTTTGCATCCATAAGCTCCTCAAACTCCATGGGCTGATATTTGAGCCAAGTAATTGGATTTGGTTCGGGCTCGACTCGAATAAGATTCGAATCAAGATTAATTCAGGTAATACATGAATTATGGAATAAACTTAGATGATGAATTTATAGATTAATCTTCATCAATATCTCTTCAAGTAAAATCCACCATAAAAAAACAGCGATGTAACAACTTTACAGTAGAAGAAGACGTTATGATAATCTCGGCGTGGCTAAATATTAGTTTGAATACTGTGCAAGGAAATGATCAAAAATCAAAGATATATTGTCAAAAGGTTTGGGAATACTTCAACGAGTACAAACTTAAGGCATGTCATTGCTGTAGTCAAAATTCGTTGATGAATTGTTAGTCAGCAATTCAATTAGCCAACAACAAAATTTGTGGGTGCTTTGCATAAATGGAAAGACTGAATCAAAGTGATTTGACGGAGAAAAACAAAGTATGAGTGAATATTTTTTTACAAAATAGTGTACTTTTAATGACATGATAATGAGTTTTCTTATAAGAATTTTCAGATTCATGATGCCAAGAATTTGTACAATGAACTCTATAAATTTTCTTGTCAGTTTAAACATTGTTGGAATAAGTTAAGGTGTCAACCAAAATGGATGGAGGATTCTCAGTCAAAAAAGCAAAAAATAAAACCTAATGCATCTTCTGGCAGCTATGTGCAGCAGAGTCGATAAATTTAGGAGATGGCGATGGGTCCAATGGATCCTTAGACAAGTCACCTGGAAGAAAAACTGAGAAAGTGTGACTACAAAAATCAAAAAGCAAAGAATCTAAAGGTGATGCAACAAGTTATGTAGTCGTGAATCTCTTAGCAGAGATGAAGGAAGAGAAAAAAGTAATGAATGAGAAGAAATTTGAAATGTTTG